GCAGGAAGTTTTGTTGTTGGAAACGACTATAACATGTACTGTCCTTGCTCTACGTAATTACTGTCTGGTCCTGCAAGCCGGGTCCTGTTACTTGCCTCATCAAACTGACAGAGGCACTGTTCTGCTTCACTCTGTGGGCTTTGTTCAGTCCTCAGTGTCCCACACTTAGTCTCCATCCGGACTGATGCACAGTAAACAATCTTCAGGAGTCGGGTGGTCCAATGACTGCTGGGTTCGTGCAGGTCAGGGCCCATGACTAGAATGCTGACTTTGTGAACTACCTCCTTTTTTTTTTCCTTAGACAGCTTAAGATTGGAGTGCCGTACAATGCAAACAGCTTCGAAGTTTTTTCAGGTGTAAATACTCCTTTCCAAAACTCGACTTTGATGTGTTCAGGACTGCTCTGTTTCCCTCTAGGTTAGATGTAGGTTTGTAACAAAGAGCCAGATCCGACTGAGTAAATCACTTGTGGAAGTTAATTGTTCACAGTGAAATCTGGTGTGGCTCATTTTGCCTCCGTTGCAGGAAGAGACAGAGGTGGTGTGCTGGATCTGCGTTCTAAACCAAGCACTGAGGCGACTTTAATTTTGATCAGATGTCTCTCTTCAGGGCATTAAAGAAAACCTGCTCAGTAATCAAAAAGAGCCTCTTCTCTAGAGAAACGTAAGAAAAAAAAATAATGCATTTTACAGAAATAAAGTACTAATATAAAATTTCAGCTTGGTCAAATTTCTTTTGCAGGCTATCATAAAAGAAACCTACTTCTCCATATTTGGCAGTTACTGGAATCAAAGAATGATTTTTTTTTTTAATGGAAAAAAGAATATCAAATTGTTTGTAATGTCAGATATTGTATGCTATTTACATTCCAACTGCTTTTATTTACTGCTGCTGGATTTCGATTATGTTTGTGCCTTCTCTCCATCAACATTTTCAAATGCTTTTCAGAATCTGTTATGTGCTTTGATTTCATTAAGTAACAGTCTTTTATTCTTTCCTTAGGACTGAAGCAGTGAGAATGGAAACCACAAAGATTAATATGTCTCGCATCCCGCTGGTTAATGGGGGCATCGACACTACAATACTCAAGGCACACAAACCCCGTGTGATGTCCAAAAGTGGTCACAGCAATGTGCGGATAGACAAAGTCGATGGCATTTACCTACTCTACCTTCAAGATTTGTGGACTACAGTTATAGACATGAAGTGGAGGTACAAACTCACCTTATTTGCTGCTACTTTTGTTATGACCTGGTTCCTCTTTGGAGTTATCTACTATGCCATTGCATTCCTTCATGGTGATTTAGAAATAAACAAGTTTACCCCAAAGCGCGAGCCGTGTGTCAAGAATGTCGACTCTCTGACTGGGGCATTCCTCTTCTCCTTGGAGTCACAGACAACCATTGGCTATGGATTTCGTTTCATTACAGAGGAGTGTCCTCATGCCATTTTCTTACTTGTGGCCCAACTGGTCATCACCACCTTGATTGAAATCTTCATCACAGGTACCTTTCTGGCCAAAATTGCAAGACCTAAAAAAAGGGCAGAGACTATTAAATTCAGCCACTGTGCTGTCATTACTAAACACAATGGAGAACTTTGCCTGGTGATCAGAGTAGCAAATATGAGAAAGAGCCTTCTGATACAGTGTCAGCTGTCTGGGAAGCTTCTTCAAACATATGAAACCAAAGAAGGGGAACGGATCCTGCTAAAGCCAGTGTCAAGTTCAATGTTGACTCCTCTTCAGAGAGTCCATTTCTCATTTTGCCTTTAACCTTCTACCACATTTTGGATGAAAGCAGCCCTTTGAGAGATCTCACACCTCAAAATCTAAAGGAGAAGGACTTCGAGCTTGTGGTGCTCCTGAACGCCACGGTGGAGTCCACCAGTGCTGTCTGCCAAAGCAGGACTTCCTACATCCCTGACGAGATCCACTGGGGCTACGAATTCGTGCCTGTGGTTTCTCTCTCTCCAAATGGAAAGTACGTTGCAGATTTCAGTCAGTTTGAGAAAATTAGGAGAAGCACAGATTCCACTTTCTATAGTATGGACTCTGAAAAACAAAAACTAGAGGAAAAATATAGGCAAGAGGATCAAAGAGAGAGGGAATTGAGAACAATGTTGTTACAGCAGAGCAATGTTTGATTGAATGGACAAACTATTATTCTTAATCTTTTTTGCAAACTGAAAAAAACATACTCTCTGTGCTGTATGTCTGCTATGAAACCAACAGTGAAGTCTTTTTCAGCAAATAGCTTTGGTGTATAGTAAACCTATCCCTTTGTTTGGCTGAGTTGTTAATCAAGTATTTTGTAATTAGGCAGGATTTCTTTGTTCATGATAGTGACTTAGCAAAGTTGGATTTGTATTAAGTCTCTGTCTTACACCACCACTAAAAACAGACACACCATTTTCCGTTTGGAAAGTGAAACTGTATGCACTGTGCTGATTCCTTCAAATATTTATTTGACATGGTTTTACTGTGAACATGCATTTGTAGAGACAGCACATAGTACTGCTAGAAGAAAATATGCTCCTTTAAAATATGTATATTTAAAATGTATATTCTCATACCATTGAGAGAATATTGCCTTTGCAGGAATTCCTGGCACTGAAAATAAGTTGGCTGGAGAGACAAATGGTTGGATGTGGGAAGAGCCTGCAAGGAGGTGATAAACTTGAAGGAGGGTGACAGAGTAGTCATGCTGGGTGGTGAGGAAGGGAGCTTGCTCTATCTCTGCTACTCAGAGCTTGTTTTGTGATTGTTTTATGATCACTCACTTTTTTAACCTTGTTAATGCCTGATTTATATATAATAGCAAAAAGGGGACATGAGGGCAAGATACACAGAATCATAACAGTAATCAACTAAGGTTAGAGCTGGCTTTGAGACAGCTGTTTTTTATCCAGTGTAAATAGCTTGTAATAGCAGCATAATAATACATTTTACAGATTGCTTGCTTTGCTATTGACTGTATTTAATTTTGGTTAAAAGAAAGATGTGTAATGTCTGTAGACAATATTTACTTTTTCTGGTAACCATAAAGGACAAGCATTCCTTTCATCCATTTCATTTTTGGTCTATTAAAGCCATTCCATTAATAAAGGAATTTAATTTGAGCAGCTCCTGATCTCTTTGTGGCATGGGGAGAGGGTGTGGTACCTCGGGGATGTTGAAAGAGTCGAGTGCTTGCTGTAGGCAGTTGCATCCAACACACAACCCAGGGACTCCACAGATCACTAAAGTGCTCAGATAATGGGTGGCAAACCAGGTAGCAGTGGTGCTCACATAGCATGTCTATAATACATAGGTCATGTATAATAGGTCCCTTTTTTAATGGGACTTAGAAGCTATTTGTGACTCATATCACTTTGGCAGCTTTCTGAGTCGTAGACATCTTGCTCCTCTACAGCTTTGGCAAGGAAAAGCTGTATTAATTATGAGTTTTGGGTCTGTGGGCCAGATCTTGGCCTGAGATTCTCCAAGGCCTGCAGTGATGAAAGGACTTTTGGCATCATTACACTTACTGTTAATGTGCTTAGCTTCCCAGCACTGTGTGGCCTAGTGGAATGCAATTCTGCACTCTGCCATACAATATTCTATACAATAAATGAATCCAGATTGGTGGCTGAAGAGGCACACAACAAGTTGAGCACAGAGAATGAATGTCAGGAAGAAGGGAGTGAAGACTTCAGGGGGTGGTGGTGATGGTAAGAAGGGTCATGAGAGGATCATTCCTAAAGTCATTGTCTCAGCTGTGTATTGACTGTAAAACAGCTTCACCAACAGCAAGTGAGCTGGTTCTTTTGTAGAAATACCTGATAATCAGCTGATCATCTTCCCCCCATCCCCTTCCCATCCCTGGAAATAGAGACATGTCAATTTGTATCTTTCACGTGAGTGCTCCATCCATTTCAACAAACTCGTTTGTTATTACACTTTCTTGCTTGTATCTTAAGAAATCTTAGTGGATTGAGCCCTGTAGGGTACACATGTACCATGTCCCAGTGGGTCTCCATATTTCTCGAGTGTCAGATTTAGGAAGTCTTGTGGGTACCCAGCTGCAGCAATGTACTTGTGTGGGGACTTTTGTGGCAGCTATTTAGGAGCCTAGAGGCCAGGCTGCTCCAGGTTTTGACAGCTGCTGAGCAGTAAATTTTTGGGATCTTCACTTAGGGAGCTAAGGAAGCAGGTACAGACTTAAGTCCCTATGTACACCAATCCCAAGGTTAAGTCACTGTGTTCACTAGGTTGTTCTAGTCATTAGGTTATTCTGAAGAAAAAACTTCACAAGCAAAAGCCTTGGAAAGAAAAAAAGCATTACAGAAATTATTTTTTCTGAATTTTCAGTCCGGAAAGGGAAGGGAAGGGAAGGGAAGGGAAGGGAAGGGAAGGGAAGGGAAATGGTGCTTGTGAGCTCTGTGGATTTCAGGCAAAATGACAATGTTGATTGTGGCCCAGAGGCCAGAGTAATAAAATATCAAGAGAAGAGAAGAGAAGAGAAGAGAAGAGAAGAGAAGAGAAGAGAAGAGAAGAGAAGAGAAGAGGAGAGGAGAGAGAAAAATCATTGTTAAAGTCAAAGCAAATTTGATTTCATCAGATAGTGAGAGAATGTATAGTGGTATTATATACATACATTAGTACAATATATAATGTGCTGCTATTCATTCATTCCAACTTCAGAACACTGTTTTACTCTGCAACGAGCTGTACTTTTCATTCATGCTTTCATGCAAGCATAACTTCCATTGCTCTATCTGCAAGTTAATAAGAGCAGAAGTGGCTTTGGAGCAGCATGGTTAGCTGCAAAGTACTGAGCTGCAGTGGAAAAATGTCATGACATGTGGTTCTGATATGAATCACCAGCAAACCAGAACCTCTATAAACACAGCTATAGTGATTTACCTCGGCTGAGGACTGATAGAGAACCATAAACCATAAAGACCATGGCTGTCTCAAAGCTGCCTTACCCATGAGTAAGGACTGTCCTGCCCACATGCTGAATGAGGGTGAAAGAGCCTTTTTGTCTGCTGATTGCTTGTCCTGAGGCTGTCAGGGCAGAGCATTCACAACTCCAGCAGGTCAGGTCCCTACACAGTTGTCAGCAACACCTTCTCACCCTTCTCCCTGCCCCACAAATGGAAGATACCACTTTGGGAACCACTGAGTTGGATGATTATACTAGTCTCCAAGATGTACTAACTTTATGAATAAATCTGAATTAAAACTGACTCTAAAATTTCAGGGACTAAATAAAGCAGTGGAGACCCCTGTCGCTGTGTGCACTAAGTGCATGAGTATGTTTGTAAAATAAAACCTCCATTCCAGTCACTAGATCATTCAGAAGAATATAGTCATGGTAAATTAAAATTTATTTTTTAAATTTGCTGAGGAATATGACATATTTCTCCTTCTTTTCTTTATGAGTTATCAGTGAGCATAACATTTTTAGAGTTTTAGTTATTTGGACGTGTACAGCACACAGCTGAATGGGAACTTATTTCAGATCATGGACTGTTTCTGAACTATTTGCTTTGGCTTTGGCTTCAATACTTCATTGTTCTTTTTTTTTTTTTCTCTTTTTTGATTTTTTTTCCCTATAGAGGTAGGTGATTGAAGAAGCATAATTTCACTTCTGTTGCTTCCTTGCAATGACTTAGGAAGGGAAGAAATTAACCCCCAGAGACTGCAGGCTGACTGTGCCAGAGTCAGATCCACCATTCTTTAAAAATGTTTCACCTCATCTTCCAAACTGATGACAATGTTTGTGGAAAGCCAAGAATTTGACAGGGGACTAGAGTGGTCTCCGGAAAAATGTGGTTCTTTAATTTTCTGAATAGAGGTAGGAGGGCAAATAGTCAATAGGTCTAAAAGATACTGGAGGAGGGGGTGCAGAATGGAAAAACAGAGAGGAAAAAATCCTAATCATACACACTCATATGCATCCATATGAACATTTGCAACTTCCATAGGATGCCAGGTTAAAAAAACAAAAAACCAAAAAAACAAAAAACAACAGAACAGCTCTCAGATTTGCTGAGGTGACTCAAAGGACTGGAAAAAGCGAATGCAAGTTCTGTATTTGAACAAATGTTCCTAAAGACCTCTGAATGTGTTTGCTCAGTATTACTCTGATGACAGCCTGATCTTGAAAGGGAACAGGTAAGACTCTATCAAATCTGTGATGGAGAGAAGCTTAAAAAAGCATAATGTGTGCTCTAGCTCTTGCTTATTCATTGCTAATATAGTGTTTGGCTGCAAAGCAGTCATGTCCTGGTCACCCTCATGCTGTTGGGATTACATGAATAAAGGAATGTTACCCTGATTTGACTGCTCAGCCTTCAGCAGACACTCTCAGCAAATATTAGATTACCAGAACAGAGCCCCTTTTAATGCAGTAGGTACTTGTTGAACATCCTGTACCTATATGGCTTGAAAGAGCTTTTGGAGCATTTCCAGGACTTCATATATTCCTTCAGCCGGGACTGTTCAGAGCTACCCTGTCCTGCGTTAGCACACAGTACACAGTGCAAAGCAACGTCATTCCACAAGTAGCACAGCATACATATGCTTTTTGCATCTCTTAACAATAAATTCTACAATGGTCACTGTGCACGTCACCATATCACATGACTGTTAAATTCGTTCTTTCTTTATTATCCCCTGTAAATATTTATCCAGACAAAATATGACATGATGACTGACATTAGTGATACTAAGAGCAAGAAAGTGTTTAAGGACATAGGATTTATGTCTCTGACAGACACGTTGCCCTGAATCCTTCATAGCTGACAGAGACTGTACTGCTCTTCCTGCCTGCTCCTCTCTTCTCCCCAGGATCAGTATCCTCAGGGCCAACAGGAGAATGGAGCATTGCCTGGCACTACTGAGGCTCCAGTCAAGATTCAAATGTGTGGCAGGCTCTGAGGAAATCAAAACCAGCTCATGGAGGTAGGTTGGTGCTAAGATCTTGCACTGTGGAGGTACAAGACGTGTTCTGTTCTGCTGACTTTCATGCAGAGCAAAAGTGTCCAATGAGGACAGCAACAAAAAGCTGTCTTCGGCCACCCTCACTGTATATCCACTCTCTCTTGGGAACATGCCAGCCTCAAACTAAAATGCAGTGAGTCTAAGTTGCTATACA